AGGCACCTCAGACTGCTTCCCTGCCTCCACGTGAATCACCCACTGTGGCTGAACTTCACTACCAAAAGTGCCTCCACAGGGCAGCCGATATCAACAAAGGTGTCAGCCATCCTGATATAAATAAGTAAGTACATACATGAAATAGGACTAAAAGCTCACAAATCCTCTTCTAGGCACCACAATCCCAGCCAAAAACCCACCTCAGGCCATCTTCAGCTCTCAAGAGCTTTTGTATTCTTACCTCATGAGCACTCCAGTATGAGCCCATCCTGCTCCCAGCTGCATATAAGTCAGATACAGATGTCCACTGTTAGAGGCAACAGGTGGCAATGATTCACAAAGTACCTCTGCAAACTTTAAGGAGGCACCTGCTGAGGAGCAAGTGGTTTATCCATGCTCCGCCTTCCTCATTGCCTGAAAGGGAAAGTATGAAGAGAGAAGAGGAGGGAATTTGCTGAGTTTATTTGATAGCTAAATATGAGAGGTGTGTGTTTGGGGAAGGCTGTACACACCAAGGTGCCAAGAGTTATCAGCAGTTCAAGATAAGGGAGTGATGACACATAACTTATGCATGGATACCTATGACTTGGCAGCCTAAGCAATGAATGAACCAGAGAAGATAATAGTAGCTACATGTAGGCTGGAGGAAACCAGTTCTACAGCACCCCAATCAGCAAACAAAAATATCGTGGATGAAATAATGTTATAAGACCTTTTTGTTCAACAAAATTTTATTTATTTACCTTTTCTTGGAGGTAGAGAGGCTTGAGTTGTTTGCTAGTAGATGTTTCCCCAATCTAATACATATATTTGTCAGTGGGATATACATTTTCCTGCTTTCAGAAGCCTTCCACAAACACGAAACTTCTGAGAAACCAAGACAAAGCCCCCAAAATTCTCCTGCAAATTAAAGCATATATTGATTCATCTTAAATATTAACACCTTGATATTTTAAGTACAATGCAGTGTCATCCAATTAGGACACAAAAATGACACCAAACTCTTCATATTTCTGGCAGACAACTATGCAGCAGCAGATATGCACATGAATAGCCTTTGCACAAGTCCTGCTACTAACTTGCCCAGACGTCTGAAATGAAACTATCACTTCAGAACTACAGGAGGTGATGCTGTACGCTTACAGTACCCACAACCTGTCTTTCCCTTCCACACACACAGACATCAGGAAAAAACAAAAAAAACACAACTGACAACTTTACATTGAATGAAAATTACTTTAGTCATCAACCATTTTAGGATTAGAAATCTAACCTCAATACCCTTTCAATTAAAGAAATGTCAGAGCTTCAAAACAAGCTTGGCCAGCAGACTGGGAGAGGTAATTCTCCTCCTCTACTCTACTCATGTGAGACCCCACCTGGAGTGCATCCACCTCTGGGGCCCCAACACTGGAAAGGTGTGGACCTGTTGGAGCGAGTCCATAGGAGGTCCACGAAGATGATGAGAGGGCAAAAGCACCTATTTTATTAGTCTGTTCTGCAGCAGCTGAACTGATGTTTCCTGAGCCATTCCCCTGGGAAAGTGTAACTGGGGGATGAAGGGCTGCAGTAGCACTGAGACTCTGGAAGATGACGTTTTTCCCATAGGTAAAAAAACAAAAAAACCCAACAACCTCCCTCCCCAACAAAAAAAATAAAACCAACAAAACAAACACACACAAAAAATTGCACCAACAACAAAAAAAGCATACAAAGCAAACAAAAACTCCCACAACCAGAAACAAAACAAACCAGAACAAAACCCAAGAACTCTAATAAACACAACTGAGAAGTTGTGGTGCTCATCAAAACATCTCTATCACACCCCCTTTTCAGCTGGACAATGGAGAGAAAACAATGAAAACTTGATGAAAGGCTCGTGGGTTGAGATAAGGTGAGGAAGAGATCATTCACCAACTACCATCATGGGCAAAACAGACTCAATATGAGGAAATTAACTTGATTTATTACCAATCCGATCAGAGTAGGATAATGAGAAATAAAACTTAAATCATAAAACACCTTTCCCCCACCCCTCTCTTCTTCACAGGTTTAGCTTTACTCCTGATTTTCTCTACCTCCTCTACCCTAGCAGTTCAGGGGGACAGGAAATGAGAGCTGTGGTTAGGTCATGACACATGATCTCTGCAGCTCCTTCATCCTCAGTGGAAGGACCCCTCACACTGTTCCCCTTCCCCAGTATGGGGTCTCTCCCATGGGAGATAGTCCTCTATGAACTTCTCCAACCTGAGTCCTTCTCACAGGCTGCAGTTCTTCGCAAACTGCTCCAGTGTGGGTCCCTTCCCTGGGGTGCAGTCCTTCAGAAACAGACTGTTCCAGCACGGGTTCCTGCCAGCAAACTTGCTCGGGTGTAGGCTCCTCCCTCTATGGGAGGTCTTTCCAAGGACCTGCTCTAGCACAGGCTTCCCACAGTGTCACAGCCTCCTTCAGGTATCCACCTGCTCCAGCATGGGGTTCCCCAGGGCTTGCATGTGAATATCTGCTCCACCATGGACCTCCACGGGCCAGAGGGGGACAGCCTGACTCTCCATGGTCATTTAACAGCTGGTTAAATAGTTAACAACTGTTCAGCACAGGCAACAGGTGAACCTCAGGTCCAAAGCCTTGAGCACCTCCTCCCCCTCCTTCTTCACTAACCTTCATATCTACAGGGCTGTTTCTCACATTTCTCACTCCTCTCTCTGACTGCAATTGCTATTGCACAGCATTTTTTTCCCCTTGTTAAACACCTTATCCCAGAGGCACTACAGCTGTCACTGATGGGCTCAGCTTTGGCCAGCAGTGAGTCAGCCTTGGAGCCAGATGGCATTGGCTCTGTCAGACATGGGGAAAGCTTCTGGCTGCTCCTCACAGAAGCTACAGGGGCTGCCTGCCTACCAAAACCTGCCCATGTAAACCAAATACAGGAGTGTTCAGCTGAGGTAGGGAATGACCGTGTCACCCCAAAACAGCTGAGAAACAACCACTTCTGGGATAACTCAAGGAAAGAAAATGGAGGACCACTCTCCAGACCTCTGTCACCTCTCCTAACCAAGGGGTAGGCTCTGTGGGAGTTTCCTCCACAGTACGTGCTGGAGGAAGCATGGAGCTGGAGGAAGCCCATCCCAGACACTGGCTGTCAAGTGCCTCTCCTTGAAGAGAATCTACTAGCAGTCCCAGAACAGGACTTGGGACAAAACATCTAGTGTGAACATATGAAATACCACATCAGCTGCTGAGAAGATACTATTTCTGGTTTAGTTCAAATTACCTGAGATTTTAGGGTGCATCACAAATTCTGAAAAGTGACATACAGAAGGTGGAGCAGGCTGTACAAGGAATCCTCAGAGAACTGTTTTCATTGTCTCAATAATACATGTTTTCTGACCAGTCTGAGGCTGGTAAAACCAGGAAGGAGCAGGTGCTCGCCATTCACAATCAAAAAGTCCACAGGCAAAGTCAAGCAGAGTATCTAATCCTGACAAAAATATCCCCAACAGGTAAAAACAGCTGAAAAGTGAAATTGCACCAGAGTACCTCAGGGAACCTGAAGACTTGATAAAGCGGATGGAATACCCAGATCTTAACAATAACAGGAGAACTTTGATAAATATGACGATATCCTCCATGGCAGGCATTAAGGAGTCAATCACTATGCCCATTTTGGCAGTTCAGGTACCTTATTTTGAGCTCATGAGTGGCGGATCAGATAAAACAGTGAATGGAATTTTAGAAGATAAGGTTGAAATTGTCTATGTACCTTGTTGGAAAATTTGTGGAGAGAAGAGACTTCTGTAGCTCTTGCCTACTTGTTTTAGGCCAGGATCTACAAAGGAGTTGAGGTACTCCTGTAAGTCTCATCTTGGCTGACCTTTGACAAACTCCCAAATGCCAGCACCTACCTTTCTTTCACAATGGTTCTGTAGGACTATTATCAAGAAGTCAGCAAAAAATAACTTCTTAATCAGCTCCAGCTCTAGAAAAGAACACCTCTCTTTTTCGAGTTACCTCCGAGGAATAATTCACACTAGAAACAGAAGCTAAACATCTCTCTCTGCCATACTTTCTTGGTCTTTAGTGTGTTTGTGTGATGCACTGGGATGAAGTCAACAGAATATTGGTATCCTACTGCGTTTCTCCAGTATGGTTCTCTTGTGTAATTATCATACACTCTGCAATCCCTTTTACAGACTATCCATTTTGGTAATAGTTCAATTCACTATATTGAACAAGCTCCAGATGATGCTAAAGCAAAATTGCATTTTAAGAAGATAACTGCAGAACACACATGTGATCTGGGACAGAACACAGTTGATTGTGAGAGGAAATGGCAATGGTCCTTCAAGACAAACCTGTAAGTTTGATTTAATTGATAAGAACAGATGTCGCCAAAGACCTAAACGGCCATGGATCTGTACCTTCGTTATCTAATACAAATTGGAAAAAATCAAATATCCTTCATAAGATATTTATTTCACAACAGTTCATGACAAAAAGCACCTGGAAAACAAAATTCTTTAAAGGTAGAAGACCATTTAATTCAAGTTATTAAAACCAAGTAAAATTATTTCAATTGATACTTCATGGTCACCACCTTCTGTGTCTGAGGAGGGCTTTATGGACTTGCTACCAATAGTCTCAATGAAGTGCCGGAATATTTTGCATATGCAAAAATATTAGCAACTAGCCACCAAGACAATAGGAGGTTGCAGACAGAGAATGCTAAGCTATTTCCCTATCACACACAGCTGATTTTTTGCCTCTTGAACATCACAGTGAGATGGGGTTAACAACACAGAGTGCTGTGTTTGATGCTACAGCTCTGAATCAGAAAGCAAGTACTGCTTAGTAAATTAAACTACATGGCTTGGAAACAAACACTTCAAGTTTTCATTTTTGAGAAGTTTACTTAGAAGGAGATGGCCCCTGTCAAGCACAGTGAAGTAGCTATCACATGTACTATCACAGTAAATATTTAGGAAGGGAGAGGAAAATGCTATTCAAGCAGAGGGCTGTGCTTGTGATACTGGCTGGCTAAGGGCTTGTTTTTTCCGTGCCACAGCCATGCGCAAGGCCTGAAGAATCATGTTCTCATTATTCATGATGTTGTAATTAGTCAGCTTCAGGAGCTTGTTAAAATCTTCTGCTTTCAGTGAGACCTCTCTGGTTGAGTATGGAGAGCAGAAACTGGAGATATCAACCTTGCCCTGTTCCATTTCAGCAGCAGTACGTGACATGCCTGTCAAAGGAAAAAAGGAATGTGTTTGTACAGTCCCACAGAAATACCATACTCTGATAGAATACCTCAAGAATAACTAGGAGAGATCACAGGTGCAATTACTATGATGACAAGTGCAGTGCTATGCTCTCTAAAAAATCTACTTCTGAACAAAGCCTATTGGAATGGAAAACACGAACAGTGGTGTCACTAAACGTCATTCCATTGCAATCAGCACCTTCTACTGGTCAGTTCATGGCACATCATTTTATGTGGTCACTAGTGCTCACATCTTATGCTGCACATTCTTGAGTACAGTACAAGCTAAAAGGAATAAAGAGATACACAGGACAGGAGGAAGCAGAATATTAGTAGCCTTGGAAATCATCATAAAAGCAATGTCTCAAATACTCACCCAGGACACAGTACATATCACTTTATGTACTATTGCTTTGATTTTCCAGCATAGTCAACCAACACATTAAATGGCCTAAATAGAAAGCACAGTGGTACTCCACAGAACCATTCTATACTGTGATTCTCCCCTAGATCTGACTGTCATAAAAATACATAATCTGAAAAATATGCTTTGTTCTACACATTAAAGTAAACATTTGGAAATTACAAGGAAAAAGTAGTTTCCATGCCTCTAATTGAGGAACACATTCCTTCTTTCACTGAATTACATCAAGACTCAAACTAAAATTATGCACAAGATTTCACCAGATTTTGCAAACAGTTTGAATCATCACATTTTGCAGTATAATCGCTAGTAGGAACCAGCAAACAAAGGAGTTTTGTATTGGGATGAGGAAAAAGCACCCAGAGAGTGAGAAATCTCACTGAATCATTAAAATTATCTGTGTACTGTTAACTTACCAGGTGCTACATATCTTTGAAAGGTATCATTCACTAATGGAAAATAAAGTAGCAGAGGAGCTCCTGGGGTGTCTGCACCATCAAACATGTAACACTCTTTCAGGTTCTTCTCATCATCCTTCAGTCCAATGCAGGGAAATGGAATTCCCTGCTCTGCGAAGTATGTGCAAGCCTGCTCCAGGGGCTGGTTGTGGCCCAACAGCAGCAGCATAAGGAACAGAGAAGATACCCAAGATCAGACTGCTGCCAAAGCCTGGTAATTCATGCCAAATTGCACAAAAAACAGACTGAGAGCACTGGACAACCAGCAATAATGTGAGCACCTGTAGCCCAGGGACTGCTTTTCTGTTGCCTGAGGAGACATTTGGAAATAGTCTTAACTAAATTTGCAGTCCAAGACAGTAAGATTCACAGTCACATTATCTGTTTATATAGCAGTATAACTTGTCCAATGACCTCAATAGATTTTAGTAGGGTTTTGAGACCAACCTACCCATTTCTATAACCCTGAATTTCAGAAATGAGATTTCAAGCTAACATATTTTAGACCTCAAAATATAGCACTAAAAACATTCACCAGAAAGCTCATTTGTGATGACCAACTTTGTTAAATTATCTAACAAAATACTATCACCTCAGTTGGAATTAAATATTTCCAAAAGAATTCTGAGTACAAGAAAAAAACATAGTGCAATATATTTTTTTTTCAGCTGCAGTACAGAGACTAGTATTTTTTATGTGGCTTCACAGTGTAAGAGCACCATTAAAGTCTCTTCCACTCAAAAAAATGACAGTGAAATTTGTGTTTTCGGTAGTGTCCCTCAGGGTCAGTTTACAATTGCAAGTCTATATTTTGAAGTCTAAATCTGTCTGTTTATGTGTAGAATATCACTTTCAAAATCTATGTAACCATTTTAACCAAATCAGATTCCTGCAAACATAGTAAATGCATTTGATATCTTGTTTAAAGTCCACTATTCAAGAACAAAAACTGCATTTGTTAAAAGAAAAAGATGAGGAAATTCTTCACTTACTGGGTTGTTCCTGGACAGCTAGTAAATCACATGTTAATATAAAAAGACAAATAAAATTTTACATGCTTAAGCAAAGTACAGATTAAATTCAGCATCCAAATCACTAAGTTTTTCCAGCTATATTTGCGTTATGAAATCTTACATATAACTATAATAGAAGTTGCAGCTTGACCTTCATAACTTCACTATGCTGCTCTATATTTTACTTGTGAAGCACTTAGGGCTATTTCAAAAGTAGTTTAAGGAAAATAGAGATATTTTCTTCTCTATAAATTTCCATTCCTCTTTTGAGATTTACAAACAGCATGTTACTAAATTCCACTAAGTTCCACGTTTTATAGACACCTGTCTAAAAGTTGTGAAAAGCAAAGGAAAAGCTGTTCCTAAACAAAAACAGTTTTGAGACTTCTCACCAAAGTCTGTGATCCCCCTGTGTAATTTAAGTGTATGATGACATCCACTTTCCGCTCTGGTCTCATAAGGGGTGGGTAACTGGTTTCAAAGAAGAAAGCTGCATCCACCAGCTCCAAGTGTTCTGAGTTGCCTCTCAGGTCATTAGGACAGGTATCTAGCAAAGTGTCTAAAGAGTAGAAGATTCAGAGCTATTAGCAAACTGCAGAGATATCTGTCAAGTTAGAAAGCAAAAGGAAGGTGAGCTTCCCTCCCATCCAGAATCTTCCTTTACTTTAGGGTTGCATGCAGCAATCCTAAAGCTCCTTCACCCTCTCCACTCACATTTTGTTAGTGTTTCTAAACCCATGAACTGCACCAAACCCCAGGCAGATGTTGCCTGTGTCCAGAGCCCCACCCTAGCATTTTTCATCCCAGTGAGGACTTCCAGTACCAAAATGACCCAAAAACTGAACAGCTGTATTATTAAAAGTGAAAGGTGTGAGGAGTTACTCAGTTCTCCCTCCTGTCAGTAAACATAAAACTCATTCAATTCTCTTCAGGACATACAAATGTCTCTTGCTAGTTCCCAGCCCCTGCGCCTGCCACAATGACTGCTGAGACATGTAGGCAGGAGAGCTGACCACACCTTTCCATTTTGTGAAATGTTCATGCTGGATATACTCATTGTGCATCTGGAGGCCTCTTAGGAAGTTGTGGTACTTGGAGACAGCAGGGCGATCTGTCAGGATATCCCGGAGAGTTGTGGAGAGGCCGCTCGTAGGAGTGAAAACGCACGTGGCCATCTCATATGGCTTCTCAGGCAAGTCTGGTTGTTCCTCTAGAGGTACATGGCATAAATGACATGCAACTGAATTATAACCACAAATAAGAAGAGGCTAGACACAGAGAGGAGAACGAGTCTTCTGTACCAATAGTAATCATGTGTTCCCAGCTCTTGGCATTGTGATAGTTCTAGTTGGTTCAGGTGTGGACACCTGAATTCAACAGAAAATTGCAAATTATTTATATAAATCCAAACATAAAGTTTGGAGGGTTTTTTTTCTGAAAACATGGTCCACAGGAATGGGACATAAGTGTGTTCACTGGCTTTGCTTGAATTTTAACATGAAGATGCTCATGAGTATTGTCAAGAAATGGTCTTTAAGTATGGAGCTGCTTCTCTCAGCTGATGTAACAGAGCTCCACTACATTTACTTCATTTGACCTCTACTAAGTCTTTCGGTTTAGTTCGATTTTGAGAGAGGAATGTGCTGTGTAGGGCAAATAGATGTTGAAACAGGAACACTCAAGCTTCTCTCTGACTGAAAAATAGGCTTTGACAGAAGGCTTTGTCATGAGGCTTTGACAGAAGTATTTCTTTCAAGCCTTTTAAACACAACACTTTAGGGACCACCTTATGTATCCATCCCTATCTCCTTTGCACCAAGGCCTGTCTGATGGTGCCTTTCCTTCTTATCACAGTCTCACTATTTATGCAAAGCACTGGCTATTCAGTAAAATCAAATCACTTGATTTTTCTGGTATGTCCCATACCCAGAGACTGAGAGCAACAGGATGACTGAAAAACTCAAAAAATGAGAAATGTGAGTGCCGTTAGCCTGTTAGAGGGGCCTAGAGGAGGGTACTTTTATTTACCTATTTCAGTCACTTTGTCTTGGGTCCACCTGTGCCAGAAGTCCTCTGAATTGTCAGCTGCGTGCCAGGCATCCAAGAGGTTTTTGGAGAAGATACTACTCCACATTCCTAGAAAGTGGGAGAGGCATAATAAGTAGTGTTGAGGTAAACACAATTAAGTTCTTTTTAAAACTGCCTTCTGTTCCTTCTGCAGCTCTTCTGTAACTTTTTCATATTTCTATGCAATTTTTGCACAAGTCCAGACACCTATTTCAGTGATAGATCAAACTCCAAAGGTAAACTTATTTCAGAAATAAATTCAAAATCTTTTCCCTCCCACTATGTTTTATCTGGAACAATTTTTTTTTAATTTTACATTGTCATTTTCCTGTTTTCATTTCCTTTTTCTGTTGATAAAGGAATATTTTCAGCTAGCTCCTTCTCTGATTACCCTCTTTCTTGCTCCATTTTTTCTTTTTAACTTTTCCATTAGCTTCCACAAAATTTCATAGATTTCCAACTTCGAAAATTTTTTGCAAGTTATGGGAAATAGTGATGCCTCAAAAGCACTCACAAAGGTACATGACAACTTATTTGTTATTTTAGTTTCCTTTTATCATAGCCCAAATGATAAAACCACCTTTGCTAGCAAGGGTAGTTGAATGAGTCTCAGGAAACATAGAATTATAGAATATCCTGAGTTGGAAGGGATCCACAAAGATCATGAAATCCAACTCCTGGCCCTGCACGGGACAACCCTAAAAATTACACCATGTGCCTGAGAGCATTGGTCAAACTCATCTTGAACCCTGTGCTTGGTGCTGTGACCACTTCCCTGAGGAGTCTGTCAGCTGACTGACCCGGTACCTGTGCTTCCACGTGCATATCAACAGGTTTCTGGGGGCTAATTTCCCGAATTACTGGTGTTTGTATTAAAATCTTGCCAATCCCCCAGGCTGGTGAGTCACCTTGCATGAAACAGATTCGGGACTCAGGGAGCTTCTTCATCAGGCGCCCCATGAAGAACTCACTGCCAAAATCCTCTGCACGAATGAAGGCGCCATACTTCAGGAAGCCCACCTCGTATGGTGTGAACTCCACCCACTCTGCCAACACATGCACCAACAACGTTAGCTCCACTACTGAAAAGAGTGCAGTTGCCAGTCTTGGAATAAACTTTTCAGGTGTCAGCTCTTGCGGGTAAGCTGGCTTAGCACACGTCCTGAGTAAACCCTGCTGACAGCCACTTAACCAACTATCTCACTATCTATGAGTTTGTGAAAGAGCAATGTCAGGACTAAGGGAACATTTTAATTCTTCTTTCTTTTTATTTAGTGAGTGCAAATATTTTTCATGAAGGGTGGACTAGAACACAGATTGATTTCTATTTTTTTTATTGCCTTTAGCCAAGCATTAAAAACATAGAATCATAGAATGCTTAGGTTGGAAGGGACCTTAAAGACCATCTAATTTCAACCCTCCTGCCATGGACAAGAACATACATTAAGCAAACGTAAAGGTTCAGTGAATCCCTTTCTTTAAGAATTCTTAGCAGTCCTGAGACTGTGTCATAGGATTATGTTGTGTTATTAGTCTGAAATTAGTGTCTGAACACGCACAATCACATGCCAAGAGAGTTTACAAAATACTGAACTGTCACTGTCTATCCTGTGGCTGCCCAGTTACTCTTTACATTTCGGAACAGTACTTCTACTGGCTTTGAATGAGAATTTAAAACAATTCATCATGATTTACAGTATCCCCACAGTGTATCTCCCTGGTTGAAAATATAGCTCTTTTTCAGATTTGAAACATTACCTCTAAAATCTTTGGTGGCAACTTTGTCCTTGACATTCAGGGCGAGGTAGATGGGCAGAGGGTTCTGACCTTGATTCACTGCCTGACGTTGATCAGAAAGTCTGTGGTGGCTTTTCTGGATTTGGAAAAAACCTGAAGAGTTAGCTGATGATCAGTTCTTTAAAGACATCAGCTTATAAAATCTGACATATGATTTTCCTAAGTTTCCTCCTGAATTTAATTCCATGTGCTTGAATAACAGAGGACAAGAAAATCATGTTAGCAGGAATAATTTCTGCTAAGAGAACCATTCATGTTTTGCATTCTGTATACATTGACAGCAATGAGTTGCTTCACATGCTTCTAGCTTTACATTTTTAAATGTAAGTCAACAAACAGGGCAGATCTGAGTAATTCAGCTGTTATCATATACTTCATCTGTTAATCATAAGGGTTCTTCAAGGTAGCATGTTAATGATCCTTCTAATCTTTTTTTTAAATACTATATTGAAAGTTAACATCCACAGAGGAAAAATCCTTGAGCTGTCCAATACTAAAAATTTATACATGAAATGGAGATTTTGAGTATACTTCAACCAAATTAAATTCTAGAAAATTTTGCTATGCAACACTGAGGTTTGAAATACAGTGTGAAATATGATATGAAATAAGATTATTTCATTTTATCTGTTTCCTCTAGACAAAACATAAACCATGTTTACAGGATTTAAAAACAAAATAGCTTTTTCTCCACCTATTTTCAGGCTTCTAGTTTACATGAAAGGTTTTGCTTGTGTCATTACAACAAAATTAGAAACTGAAGGTCTGGAGAGATCAAATTCAAAGTGGCTGAAAGGCACCTGCAAAATCATAGTTTTGGCAGTTAAAATGTCTCAGGAGCTCTGGATCTATATAGTTTCTTATCACTAAATCCCAAAGTTCCGTACATATGAGGTACATCTGCAGTACATTCAAGTTATGAGTGCAGCTAGTGTAAATATTGCAGCAGTGGAGAGATAAAAACATGGGGCCATAAAAAGCACCTAAGAAACTTAAAATTTTTTTGGACAGATACAGTGTTAATTAGTTGGTTACTTTAGAGCTAGTCTGAACATTTCTATGTTACATTCTATGACACTTTAGGCTCCAGTGTAGACATAATCTATCTCCAAGTTATTAATGTAAATAAGTGGTGTTCTGCCTGCATACCAACTACAGTGTTATTGACCAGGTTCTCTTCCTACGGCTTTAATTTCTTGTAATGGTCATAAATATTAAGTCAACAACTTTATGAGAAGAAAGATGTATAGACATTACCCCATCATTCAACATGGATTCAATCATGAGCCCCCACAGATCAATAAAAGAGGTTTTATGTCCTGCTTGGGTCCTTTGGCTCAGCTCTCTGTAATAATTCCTTAGACTTTTCAAGCAAAAAGCCCCCATCTTGCACTTGGCTGCTTGCTTCCGTGCTTCAATAATTATTTCTCCGAGATCCTTACGTGACCAATCAGCATCTTCATATAGCTTTGTCATTGTCCTGCAGGCAGGAAACATGATGGAAAGCAGGGGAAAATGAACAAGATCCTTTTGAAGCTCAGAGAATACACTTTGCAGAGCTTTGGGCACTTACTGTTTTATCTTTTAGTTACTCTCCTCTTTGAGCTTACTTTGAGCAGAAATGCAAGTCTAAAGGCAACTAGTCAAAAATCACTTGATCTGGGATCCAACACAAGCATCTACACGAGCTGTCTATGCTGTTTCTGTCCAACAGTAAATAATCATAAAGCATCATTTTTGCGTAGGATTAAGGATGTTTACCCTTCCAATAAAGTCTACTCTTTTGGTTAGGGATAGGTTACTTCAGTGACACTAAATGTATGATGTACAACAGTCCTTTCATAGATGACCTTGGCATTAATAGTCCAAAGATGGAAGCAATAATTCAATTCACCACCTTTACCCTGAGACCAAGACAAAGCATGGGTTTTTCTTAACACAACAAACTCCAAGCAACAGTATCAAAATGTCTCCTCACCATGTTGTGCCAGATGAGCCACTGATGTATGAAATACAATCCAGAACACGCAACTTTTGAAGGCCCAAAATGCTGCCATACATGCCAGTGAGTGCTCTTATCCCACATCCTGCTGTGGTCACAGCCACTATAGGCACCTGTTCAAGACAAAAAAAAAAAAGAGAAGAAAACATAGATGGAAAAGTGGCATTAAGAAACAAACAATGTCAAAAGATTACAGAAATGCAAAAGTAACGTCCAAACAGTAGTAAAATAAACACATACATTAGAGATAAAGCAACATTGCTCTATAAAGCTGCAGGGCATCCCTGTGGAATATATTAGATCTTGGCACTTCAGGAAGGATTTTTATGAAACACAGGCCAAACCTATTGGTTTGAAGCTCCTTCAAATGATTCAGTTGAAAGCCAACTAGAAACAGAAGTTCTGGTCATCCAAACAGACAGCTGAACTGTCCAGTTGAGATCATTCTGGTGGCACACAGCACCCCGGAGGAGAAGCTCCTGTCAAAGGTCCTCACTCATTCAGATGGAGGTAAAAAATCACTTCTTATCTCCAGGCCTGAGAGAAAGGAGAGAGAAAAATCCGCCAACAGTACCCTTCCTGATTACCTCATGCTCTTGCAGATCTTCCTCCAAATGAAGAACATCCTTTAGCGCAGCAGCAACCACCTTCCTCCGGTTTTGCAGGAAATTCTGTTCATCAGTGCAGAGGTCAAATCCCAAGCGGGCATCTAGGTTTCTTGGCCAGAAACACAGACCCTGAGTCCTGTGACCAGGGCAAAAATGTTCTTATTGTGGACAACTCCAGCTGTGCTTGTGTGTGTTTACAGACCAGATTGTGGACAGTATAACATAATAAATGATAAAGAACACCACACTTCTGGTTTTATTTGCTCATGTAATTATTTTTTCAAGTTTCAATAGTTGCTGCCATACGTGCCTATAACTAGGCAACCACTGTCAACAGGCATTGCAGTTGAATAGGGAAACAGCTACCATGCCTTGAAGTCACTTGTATAATTCAGAAAAATCATTTCTTTGCAAAGCTGCTCTATCCATCTGTGGGCACAGTAGTGCACACAAATAAAGATCTATTACTGAGATGCACTAGCAGTTTGGAAATTTGGAGGAAAAGGGACTCATGATTTAATTCACCATCAATGTGAAAAGGAAAACCTGGCAAATAATGAACTCACATATCTGCTTAGAACTGGACTTGCACAGCCCCCTCTGATTTCAAATGAGCTTTGTGTAAGAGCAAATGTCTCCTAGTTAGTGCATCAGGTCTCGCTGGAGACTCACTTACCATTCATTTGCCTTTGTGTACAAGTCAATTGTCCTGTCCTGAAAATCACAATACAGACAGTGTAAGCAGTGTAACCTGTGCCTTCCTCCCCTATTCCATCTAGGGCCTGAGTTTCCCTGTCTTGGAAGTATGAAACATAGCTGGAGAATCTGGCCAGCAATGGTCTGGGCTGAGATATTAACAAGCTCCAGCACTGCCTGAGTTGAGTAGAAATGGGCCATTCACAGAAGCTAGATGGGCTTAGGGCTCCTCAGCTTCTCATAGTTTAACCTTCATTTTCTGGGAGGGTCACTGAAAGCTGGACATCTGAACCACACACATATGGATGTTCTCTGTTTGATCTTCTGCTTCAAGCATTCCCTTTGTAAATGTATATCTTACTTGTCATATCCATTACTGTTAGCTCACATACTATGTTGATGAACATACATATCAGACATGTCCCGAGGAAGTTAGTTTAAACTCAGAACAGGATTACACAGGGTATGACTGGAACCACGTGCAGAATAAAAGAAAAAATAAATATTGCATAATTGCAGAGTGACTGTCTTTCACACCTTATACTGTAGCATGCTTCATGTCTCACAGGAACTGAACCACTGAACTGTAAGACTAATCATTCATCAAACTGATGATGTTGGGCTACTTCGTGTTAGGAAAGATTTGTTCTCACCTCTGCTATTGTTATTTTCTCTTGTATAGGAAGTGAGTTTAGAGGTAGAGTCACAGACTCGTTCATATCCCTTTCATTTTGACTTGATGTAGACTGGAAAAACGGATGAGAGAAAAAATAAACAAGACAGTTACTTATTATACAAAAAAAGGAGAAAAAAAAGTAAAAGCAGTCTCCCCTGTCTCACTTGCATGCACGCACTTATCAATTCCCTACATACACAGATCTGCACAAGCATTCAGATCTTAGTGGTCCCCAAAGAAATACACAGCAAATAGCCAGCTATGTGTTAGTGGCAATTACATACCCTGCTGAGATGCCTCCGCCGTGGTAGAGCCACAGTGAGTGCCGACTGACTGTACTTGATGTAGTGGAACCTGGCCGGGGAGGTCGGGCAGAGACAGGAGCTCAGTGTGTGGGTCTGGGTTCCTTCATATGACCCGTCTACGGTTAACGCAAACTTTCTCTCTGAAGCAAAGGTGTTTCAAACTTAAGTTCTTCAAAAAATTGGGGTAATTTCTTTGCATAGTAATGTAACATATGTTTTTCTTAAGTAATTACTTCATTTTGACACCCAAATTATAGGAAAAATAAATAGATTGACTCATCTGAGGGTTTCAGCTTTAGAGCTGGTGTGCAGAACGTGCCATATAGCTTTAGCACTACTGCACTTACATATATATTTGATTGCTGAGACTACTGCTGTATTCATTAGGTAAGGACTCACAGCTGATAACAGTTTTGGGGGAAAATCAAACTCTATTCTGAAATTTTCAAAATACCTTAGTATTATACCAGAAAAATATTTTAGTATTGCATACTGTCTTATTGCTGAGATGTTTTGAAAACTCTAGACTTGGTGGAAAAAACAAGGGTTTTTGTAGCAGAGAAAAACTCTCTCTGGAATCAGTAAAATCTCAGTCCCTCTATTATGTTTTCCTTTCCTTCAACCTGTAATATGTCTTTTGAAATATTTCTAGCACTTACAAAAATAGTGTCTGGTGGTTTTCTGTCTTCATGCAGTAAGCCTCAGATATGTCTGTTCAAGTAATTAAAAATGGTCTTTACATAGAATATCAGCCTAAGTTCAAGGTGAAATATACTCTGTAAATCCACACACTCCAAAGTATATAATCAGCCTTCAAAAGAATTATCCCACTCAAGCATCTTCAGTCACATCTATCAAACTTTTTCACTGTGACAGCTGAGTTCAACTGGATCATCCACGTGCTTAAGCAGTGTGCTGAATTGAGGTCATAAGGAGATGTCAGAATGAGATGTTTGAAAAGTTGCGTAGGAGGTACACAATTCCACAGGTCTGGACTTGACATGGTAGTGATACACTGCTTGAAATGTGCAACAAATGTCTATGCTAATACACTGTGAGTCCTGTGTTTCACTAGTGGCATGTTATACCTAAAAAATTTTATTAAGTTAAATGGTAAAAGAGGCCTAATCCTCTTTCTGCCCATTTCCTTTTTCTCAGAATCCAAAAACAACAGGAGTTAGCTTGAGTGTAGGACTCAAAAAAATTCAACCCCTTGCACAAACACTTTGGAAAATTGCAAGCATCTGGCAAGATGTTATTGCAGAGGAAAATATTCTGTGGGGAAATTAGACCACATGCTCATCACACCACATTCTGGAATAATCTGTATATTTTTGATCAACTACAACCCCCTCCACAGGCCACTGGCATCAGTGGCATTTTGTCTGGCACCTTAAATAATTTTAAACTAGGATGTTCAAGAGTAAAACACTAAGTGCTTTCACCATAAAGTGGCAACCAGATTTCCTCATTAAATCAGTGAAAGGCTCACCCATAGTGTCCTTCCTCATCCTCCCACCGTTCACCTGCACCTCCAAACAGGAAACTTCACGGGACTGCAAGAGACAACCAGGGCAAGAGATAAAGGCATTTGCTATCAGTAGAGCTCTGCCTCCTCCAATCCCTTGGACCATAGGTCTCAGGGCATGCACCTCAAGGGAGAGGTGATGCCAGACTGTAATCCCCCTACCAGGTCTAGGGAGATGGGATCAGGCTTCCACATGGGAAATAACAGATCACGTAGAGATGAGGAAAGAGAAAGGATATACTTGCTTCTGCCTGGAGGAGCAGCCCTGCAAGGGCCTGGGAGAGGACTGGCCACAGGAGAAGACTCTCCAAACAATGCTCAGCCAAGCTGTCCCTGGGCGGATGGAGGGATGTCACACATCTGAGCCCAGCTCAGTTTAGGCAACGGCAAGCTCTGGCAGCAGCTCACAGTTTTCGCAGCTTCAGCCTCTCCCAGCATGAGTCACTATCTGGGACCGCGTGGGAAAGCCAGAGCTAACACCAGCTTTAGCCTGCCTCTTGGTCAATGCCTTCATGCCACCATATGGAGCAACTGCCTGGTACCTTTAATACTAGCTTTGCAATAAACATTCTTATATGGCAGGGAAAAAGATTATGAAATAAAAATTACCACTAAAACTCCATTAGTAACAATGTTTTCAGGAGGATCTGGACTGAAAGACAAAATGGAAAACAACCAATTCAAAACCAACACACTCTTCTTTTTCTTTTTTCTTTTTTTTTTTTTAACTCTTCTTTAATGGTTATTTCATTATCTCTATCTTTAAAAGTCCATCTTCGGACAGGCAGCATGGACAAACAGTATCAGAAATTCTACCTGCACATTCAATCCATTTTGCCTCTCACAGGCTTGAGCCTGAACTTCAAACAATTTATGGACAAGTGCTGAACAGAGGAGCTCCTCAGTGTATCAGGCAGGATTGTGTCCTGACACACCGAAGAAAATTTACACAGGGATGGCATATTTACAGGCATAATTACACTATTGCCCCATATTGTTCAGTTCAAATCTGTGGAATCAGAGCTAATAAGCTGGTGAATTCATCCAACATTCCATTAAAAAAAGAAAAAAAAATACCATCAAATGATGGTACCTTAAAAATCAACAGCAGCACTAAGACTGATCTACATCATTCTCTCCATTAACTGCACAGTCAGCACGGAAACACAGTAAAAAAAAAATTTAATCTATTTCTAAAACAAATTCCAAGTATCATTTTCCCGTAATCTTATGACAAAGCAAATATCTGGGATCCCACAAGTAAGGAGAAAGAAGGGTTTTAAACTTATAACTTCCTTCTCTCATCAGAGACATCTCTATGCCCCCATCAGCACTTGTGCTCGCTTTTCTCTATGTCTGGATGCCCAGTGTAGGAGCATGCACATCATGCATGGTCATGCACCCCTTCTCCATTAAATGCTCTACAACGTGTTTCCTGAACACCCAAATCTACCCTCTGCTTTATTCAGATGGTGACAGTGTTAGGGGGCTGCATGTGTAAACTATGCTTTCTATCAGTAACCTCATGTCTCTGCCTTACATTTTGTTGCCTATTTCACCTCACGCACCTGCTCTCCATTGTGAATTCAACCTCCAGCTCCTCTTTTCCCTGCAAAAGAAAACGAAGACAGTCACAGCAGGTTGGTCTCCCTGCAAAGAGAGATACCCTACAGGAATCTGTGCTCTTCAGAGTTCTCTATAAGCCAGTGTCCACCTCTTGTTACTGCATATGCCACAATTTTATTCATGTTGTATTTGGATACTTCTAGTATCACATACTTCTAGCATCGTATCCATTAATTTAGCAAACTCCTAGTTTAGACCTTTGCAGAACACACGTAATACATACTACAGGGCCTCTTGGTGGCTGTTCCCCCTTTCTGCGGTCTTGGGTTCCCACCTGCATTATTTCACAGGCCACTTACATTTCCCCTTTTCTTTCTCCTCACAGGGGTTCTCACACTCCCCACTGATTCTTAGCATGTGTGAAAGTGGATTTCTCCAGTTCATACAAATCATTCTGACCCTCTCCCAGCCCTCACTCACTCACGCAGATGGGCCTGGTGGCACATTAACATGGTGGCACACTTGGCTGTACGAAGCCCAGGGTGTTCTGGAGGGTGCACTTTGGTTTGGTGGAGTCTGTACACATAGACTCTTTGTGTGCTCATCTTTATCTTTTGTAATTGCTTGTCCCTGAGATTTTCTTTCTCCTTAGAGGTTTTCGTGCAATTCCCATGATCTTCTTGCCCTCCCAGTGTAAGTACTAAGGAGAACATGGCACGGAGAGCCAGCCTTTCCAAAAGAGGTATCAAATCAAATCAACGTTCACTCAAGTCCTTCCAGGCCTAAACATTGCCCTCGAAACTTTACTCTGAAGTTGTCCCAACCACACGAAATTGAGATCTGATGAAAAACACAATTTTTTAAATAATTCAGTTCTGCAAGTGTTATGTTCGTTTTCTAAATTAGCTAAAAGCCATACTGGAGTTGGGTTTACGACTGCAGATCATTACTTCTGTATTAGCAAAACATAACACAGAGCTCAAAACTGCCAGCTACAACTGCAAAACTAATGGGGTAAACTCATTTTGACATCAAGGACAGTAAACAGACAATTAAGTCCAATTACATTGGCCAGCTCTCTCTGTAGAAGCACCATCCAAAATTTGCCATAATTACAGAAACAGCTGTAGGTATGAACCCCTGCAACAGACGGACATACTCAGGTATGGACAGTAAGAAAGGCTTGTATAGGACACATAAGAGGAAAGCTGAGATACTCATATTCTCAACTGACTCCACCCCCTTTTCTTTGTCCTTGAAATTTATCCATACCTGTGGATTCAGCTGGAAACTTAGCTGAATGTTTTCCCCAAGCTGGATTTTGGAGACATCAAAGAATACAGTGAGGAGATGGTCATCTTGAGTTACATTGTCCTCATCACAAACTTTTAGTTCCAGAATGTTCTGGAATAAAAATTAATTAATTAAATATTAAAGGTTTAACAGACATAACATGCTACAGATATTTTATTTTAGCTGAACAAAGTTGAGAAAGAATTTCAAGAATGAAAAAATATAAACATTGCAGTTGCTCTCTGCATACTTTATTGGCTATGCAGGCAGATACAGTCTTACCCAACTATCAGAAGCTAAATAGGCACAGCAAGAGAGTGTGAACACAGTGAGAGAGTGTGAATACTTGTCAAGGGAACTCAGAAAGACCCACAGAATGGAAGTGTTTGATATCTGGTAAGAATAGCTGGAGGTATCTGCACTCTTACCTTAACCTGGCTCTGAATCGTGAAGTGGAAGGTTTCATTCCATGTTGGATTCTTGCTGTTCTGGACTGTCTTGGTGCGGAAATGCTGCACTGAAGCTGTTGGCAGGCTCAGGCTCACATAGCAATCAGACTGAGTTACTGGTGAAGAGAGGGAAAGCAGGAAAACAATGGGTCAATGAAACAATCTAGTACCCCATAACGTGATGCACTGTGTGAATTTTTAAGCTCAGTACATAAGGCAATACACAGAATGCAGACCAACAAGCTAATTGGGGTACCATCAGGCCACTGCTAGACAACTGTCTTGCTTTACTATTGTGAAAGCCTGGCAGCGTGCTCTCTTGAGAATTACTTTTTCTAAATTCCTGGAAAAATAACAAATGCTCAAAATATGCAATTGCGTTGCTGAAAAGCCATCCATATGGATATGGGCCCGTACACACAGCAGTATCACAGGGTTGGGCACCATGGACCTTAGCAGCTGTGATAGGGGCTACCAAATGGACAGAGCCCATCTTCTATACACTGGGCTTCCACAGGTAGGCATGAACATGCCTTAGTATGTCTAGAGTAGCTCTAGATTTATGTTTTGTCTCTTCTACCTTCTGGAGCATCCTTCCTTTTTTCTGAGACCTCTGGCTGCCAATGCAGCAGGGATAGGTGCTCATTGCTTTGAAGGTTCCCATGAAGCCCCACTGCTGTCACAGAAGACATGTCTTCCACCAAGGTACCTGCTCTCAGTCTGTTTTCTTCCCTTTTTGGAAATTTAAAGAAAGGGGAACACAGTGCACCACAGACCTCAACAGCACAGATTTTCAAGGCAAAAAAATTCAAGAAAAAAATTCAAGAGCTGTGGAGATGAGAGGAACTGAATTTAATCTTCTGTAAGTGGTTTAGAATGAGCACAGATAAGAAAAGCATTGAAAAGTTGAACAGTTTGATGGCTAACATTTGCTTTGAGAAGCAACTGTCCTGAGGCAGGGTTTCACCAGTAAAACTGTATAAAAATATATATTGCTTAATGTCACTATTTTCACCTGCATCTCTGTGCCTCAGCCAGCACAGTAAAGGTATTTGCAACGCTAAATGTGCAGGTGAAAGCTTGTCTGTGTTTCACAGCAAGGAGAGAGCTGACGTGGCTTCTTTGCATGAAATTGCATTGCTTTTGCCTCCACTAGAGGCGAGTTCAGGTCATAAAGTTCTCCTACCAATTTTAATGTTCCCAGATGTAGTGAGGACAGCTTTAGTCTTTTTATTTTCCTTTCTCAGCTGAAGAGGCCAGTTGTAGGGTTGAGCTTCCCACCTGAGCTCCATCATAAGTGATGGACGTTAAGGGCCAAAGTTTTGGTATGAAACAGTCGTTAGGAGAAGTCTGCAGTGCTTATATCATCAAGCACTTTCATTCTAAGATCAGAATAATCTACCTGCTAATATATTTTGTCATCATTATTAGGAAATAAAAGACAAATGTGAATAATGAGATTAACAATCCCGTGGACCCACACTCAGAAGTCAGGGATGATTACCCTATAGAACACAATCTTTTGGTTAGGGATGACAACATATACAAGTGGCAAAGATAGCATGAGGAGTATTGCCCATAAATGCCAATTCCATTATTAGAATTGCATTTCCTCTATTTGTAATGCCATGTACTCAGCATTCTTGCTGTTGCATAGCAAACAAACCTGAATGGTAGTGGAATAGGCTTAAGTCTTGTCACACTTAGTTTTACTGGTAGACCTGATTTGGGGAAACACAGAATAATTGTCTTGGCCCTTTATTGTCTCCCCACCTGCAACTCAAGGGTTAACAAAGCCAGCCTTTTTCTGACCCCCACCCCATCTCCCCTGAGGCTTAAGTCATCTTTATTTCTTTTTTAGTAACTCTGAATGTAAAAACAGCTACTTTGACTGATGAAAGTAGTAGTTGTATACTCTAAGATATATGAATTCTACAAAAATATCAAAATGCATAGACATCACCTGAGCTTCTAACAATTCTAATAGCTCTCAAAATTCTGTGTGTATACAGGAAACATCCATATGAAAATCTTTTTTGGCTCTTAGGAAATCCAGACTGACATTAGAACAGATCGCTGTTGGCTCTTGTCCCCACTAGAAGGACCAGAAGGACCCAAATGGTTAAGGCTGTGGGTGAACCAAAGTTTATTTCCTTGACACTTCCCAAATAGCAACACATTCTCTGACTACTCTGTTGCAAAGAAAAAAAGTACTATTTTGAAAGTCCATCAATTTTTTTTTTTCTGTAATTGATCACTCTCTGCTACAACACTGTGTCATACACCTGTAAGAAATAACTACCTGTCAGACAGCAGAGCTCTGACTTCTCATTTAGATCTCCGACTTTCTCTAGGGCACTTCTGACCCAGTCACTAAACAAGCATGCTTCCCTCTTCCCATCTGCCAAATGCGTTTGGTGATGTGTTTTGTAGTTCAGAGGTGTCCTCTGAAACCTAATTACTTCTTGCTTGTGACATATTTTCCAGATGTTATGAGGGAGGCACTTAAAACACCCAGGAACCTTTTTTTATACATCTTTGATACCTCAGATCCATATTCTGCCTGACCAGTTCCAGGTACAAGCAGATGTGAGAAATGGCAAACCACAGCATATCCTGTGCCTAAACTGGTTGGTCACTCCACAATATCCCATTGCCTTTCCACGTACACGTACAAGGCTCCCACTGCCAGCCACATGCAAGAAAATCGTTGTCACCCTGGTATGTAAGCCTAACCACACCTAACTACAACAATTACACTCACACAGTATACAGACAACAAAGCATCACAACAGTGACCTGTTGTGTCCCTCCCCTCAGCCATGACACATGAACAGCCATCAGACATGCTTGGGGCAGCAGCTGTGGTATCACTGTGGGGCAATATCCTGCCAAAAGCAGGTGTGGCAGCAGGTATTTATGAAAGCATGGTCTCTTCGTCCAGTTATTATGCTAAGTGTCTAATTATCTTCCAGTTTAATAGCAGGACTGGATCTTAATTATGCTTTACCATTAGAAAGCATTACAGCAATATGACACATGCTAAAAAACACCATAGCCCCAGCATCATGCTGTGTGCCAAGCAGTAGGGCACCAGCAATTCTGGCTCAAGATGAAATCTCACCTGTCTCACAGAGAGGTCAAATTCAAGCAGGGCTAAACAAAGAAAAAATTATTCATTCCACCCCCTTTTTCGATCCAATGTCCAACCCACCTGTAACTTGGGCAGAAGCCTCAAGCATCTTCTCCTCTTGGACTACCTTTAGCTGTTCACTATTTCTAGGGGGTAGATTTTTCACTACTGTCATGGTATAGTTTTTTTCTTATTCTAGTGCAAGAATCTGAACCAAAACTGTGGTCTCAAACACTGTTTGCCCTGATCATCATCTTGATCAGGTCTCCCTGGATTTGGATCTATCCAAGTCATAAAATACAAAATATCATCACCAGTTGAGAGAAGCATTTTTCTTCTTCACGTACTGTGTAGGTGAGTAGATACCTGGCTGAAGGCAAGTGGACAGGCCAGGATTGCTGTTTCCTGGAGCACAGAATATTAGATAATTTACATAATTAAAACTTTCTTATATTCTTTTTTTAAATAAAAATGTGAGTTACTTCCGTGAAAGTAAACATCGTCCTTCTCAAGGCCCTTTACAGTCAGACTGTCAGAATTCATTCTGTCCTGGGAGATCAGTTCCTGTCTCCAGGGAGCATTCAATATTAATCTTCTAATAGCTAAATTTCAACAGAAAGCTTCCACACTTTCTTCCACCCTTCACACTGGGTGGAGCACCTTATAAATATCCCTAAAGCAGTATCAGTAGTCTCATTTACACCCCTCCTTAAAACACCCCTTTGCTGAGATATTGCTAAACAACCTTACTGTTTCTTTCCTGGTTTTTCCCTTGTTGGGCTTTATCAGTCCACATCCTCTGATTTTATAAATGTATTTCATGCAGCACCTAGAACAATAGGCTGTTGGTGCGTAATTGTAAGTGCTTAAATGGTGAAGTAAGTAATAAATAACAACAAAACAATAAGAACAGCACAAGAACAGAACACCAGAGGAAGTCTGCAGGTTCCTGCAATAAGTATCACATTGGACCATAGTCCCTCAAACACTAATGTATTTCACTGATTATATTTCTTTTCAGGATCTCAAGGGCCTTTGCAGAAACTGATCTGTGGCAGAACTGCTACTACAATCCTGTAAAAAAATGTTTTTATAAAAATGTAAAGTATACTTAATAATATTATAAAATATAGTATCAAATTAGTCTTATATTAAAAAATCTAAAACTTTAAATTTCCAAAATTAAAAAGTATAATTAAAAAAAATCCGTAAAAGCTTCAAAAATATAATTTTCTTACTAAGAAAATGCTGAAGAATATTTTTAACACCAGTCAAGGTTCCTTTAGTCTAGGGCCCACAGGCAGTGGCCACTGAGGGATCTTGGATGTTTTCAGGAAGCAGGAAATGATGGCTTAAAATTGCTCAGCTCAGTATCCCCATCCAGTTGCCTGCTTTTACTTTATTTATACCCTTAATACTGTGTTTTCTTTTCTTTTGCATTTGTTAATTTCACTTAATGATTTAGTTTCTCTGTGGTATCTTGTTCTTTAGTCCCTTTGACTTCTTTTTTTTTTAGGGAAGAACCTTTGGTCTTGTTGAGGTTAGCCACCAGTGCCAGAAGTAAATATGTCCCACATTTAGTGATGGGTGTCTAAGGAAGAGTATAAGAGGGCAAACATCATATAATGCTCACTCAGCCCTCACAATTTAAGATTCAGACACTTCACGAGCCAATCTTCACTGGATTTTTTTCTTCTATGGACTTGTCCAGTTTCCACCTGAAACTCACATAAACTTCCAGCATTTGTCATCTCCTACCAAGGGGAGTTCCCAAACAAAAAGCCATGTCCTTCTATTCGTTCTGGAGCTGTGGTGGTTGTCCAAGGTCTGTGAGAGGCTGAGTTTGAAATCTGAAGTTCTCTGCGGAGAAAGCTGTGTTTTTAAGGGTGGGTTGGATTGGTGCACATCGAAGTCTCACCCCAGTAGGGAGTTAGGATGCATAGGGAACACACACCCAAATCTGGGAACTGGCAAGTGTTCACAGGTCCAGGAATATCAAGAGGCCTAATGAGCCTGATGGGGATGTGGGTGTGCTCAGTGAGAGACAGGAATGTGGAGAACATAAACAAATTAACTAAATTAACAGGTGTTATCAATGATATCAGCTATGCATCAATACACAAGTGGAAATTACTATTATAAATTACACACTGAGGGATGAGTGGGAAGAAAACACAGAATAGTGCAATGGTGCATTAAAAAGTCAGGGTTTAAAAGGTGGAATGAAACAATTTAAGTTGTCTTAGATAAAAATATTCTCTTATGCACTGAACTTCCACTAGGAGTCTTCTGTTATCTATTCCATAGAAACGTTAGTGAGGTTTTGAGATTCTCAAGTAATGGATTAATTTCCCCATCTCCATTATTTGGAAAATGGAGAAGATAGACCAATAGTCAAGTCAAACTTCAACACCAGGTTGGGAGACTACTTAGACACTATATGAGTATTAAACAAAGTGATCCAAAAACTCTACAGAAATCTAGTGCAAGGTTGGGCACAACTGGCAAGAGATAGAAGAAGCAGTTTAAAACATCAAAAATCAATAAGGTGCCTGAAAAAATAGGTGACACTTGACAACCTGTTCTATCTACAAAATTTTGCAGGAAAAGGAAAGTAACAAAAAAAAAGAGCTGGGAAAAGAAAGAATTAGAAAAAAAATCAGTGTTAGGAAAATGGTACTGTAAAGAAGTCCACTTCACTTGTGATGGAGGGCCACATGCTTCTGAGTTTCATAGGGCTGTGTCAAGCTCATCTCTATAGAACTGTAAAGATGAATGAATCAACTCAACAATATTCCCCCAGTTTTACAAACAAACCAGGAAAATTTTGCACACTTTTTTTTATCTCAAGACTCTCATTTTGCTGCTTCTCAGTGAAAGTCCTATAAAGTTATAAATATGTAACTTGTACTAGTTTTTACATTGTCCGTAAAATTAGGCAGAGATTAAATTAGTTCATTAAAACTTTTGAAATACAGGCTTATTTTATATGATAAAGAGACTATCAATGAAATATACGACTTCTACAAGCCTGGCTGCACAGAAAAACATGTTCTCAAACTGCTTTAAAGGAAATCTTTCTGGTAAATACTGCTCACAAATTTTATGCTCAATAAAATCAAATGTTATTGGAATTAAGCAGCTGTCAGTCAAAACTAGATTCAACATTTAAACATAAGCAAGGCAGTGTGCCCTGACTGGTATGGTTTTCTTTTCCCACAGGATGAATGTCCACAACAAGCAAAGCATTCACCTTTTGCAAGCATTTTTTCTGTTTTCTTTCTTCAAATTGTTTTTTCTCCTCAATATTTTGACTGATACTTCCATTTCAAAGAGAGGATAGCTTGCCAATGTTGGTGGTGAATGTTGTTCTGTTTTGTGGGCAACATCCAGTATATGCTTCACAGTGTCAGGTTACAGCCTCAGCCTGGAAAGCCCATGCTCTGGCTTTACTGCTGCTTCAGATGCTGTGCTGCACTACAAAATCACATCTGTCATTCTAACTGCTCCTTTAAAAAGCTTTGTGGGCTGGTGGGACATGACTTGGACTGGGAAGCAGAAATGCCTGAGTATTTCGGTACCTGTCCCATGTCCTAGAAGCTTTCTGATATTGTAAAGGACAGCATCAAAACATAGTAAACTCCATTCAAATAAAAACAGTTTCAAGAAGCATTGATCTAGATGAGAAAAAGGTGGAGAGGAAGTTTGGTAAGTTCATTATCATGCAGATGGTTTAATAGAGCGTGATTATCTGGGGAGATACCTAAGGGCTGTAGTTTTCCACAGCTCGCTCTTTCAGTTCAGTGTGCATATTTGAACATTCAGATTCTTCACATGGTCTCTAGAGAAATTCTCACAGAACTTGAAGCAAATCACATTAGAAAGGCACAAAAAGATATCTTGTCTTACATCTTTTTAACTGAAAAACTTTACTTTTGTCCTGTTCCTATACAAATTTTCTGGATTCAGACCTTTTTATTTGCATACATGAACAGATGCAAGACAAAATCAGTCACCTCCTCAGACTGGAGTCATTCACACCTTTTTTTCTAGTGCTTTGCAGTTCAGGCATTTATGAACCATTAATAAACATTTATGTAACTATATTCCTGGGCATTTTGTAAAAATAATTAAGAACAGAAAAAGCTAACTGTGAGCCCTCAATCAAGTTTTGAAACATGGCTGTGCCTATGGCTGAATCAAATTTGACAGTCCATAAGCTGTCAAGTGTGCAGTCCTGAGCCCACATAAAATATCCTGTGATAGGCCCAGGGTTACACAGGCTAGATATTACAGTAAGAAGGAACCATAGAATGCAAGTTCTTATTGCAGTCTTTCCTGTGAACAAAAGAAAATTTATTTGCAGATCCAGATGTGAAACATTTTATCCATTCTGTGTAAACATGTTCTGCATTACAACTGGTGGATAGACTTCAGTGTTGTATTGGCAAGTATGTAAGAATAAATAGTATCTTCTGACAGTGCTACCTCATCTTCAGCATAACATGATCACACATCTGTGTGTGATAAATATTCTGTAATGTTTGTGACACTTGGTAATATTCAGAGTAGCTTTACAAGCACAAGGATGCTCCTCCAAAGATACTCACACAAGTCTGCTTTCCTGGCATTTTTCATCTGTATGACTTTTACAGTAAGCAAGTTGCATGGAGAGGGTTCTGTCTGTTGAAAAGTACAAAATGCATAGGATGAGCAGGCAGAAAGGAAGAACAGAAGCATAATCAAGGACAACACTGAATTAAGTGTTTCAGTTCCAATCAACAAAACATTTCTAAACCGTGGTCCCTCCTTGAATATTGTCTTCTTCTTCCCAGGAGGTTTTGTAACCAGGTGTGGCCACAGACACAAAATGTACAATAACAGACCAAACCCCTGATGTTGTCCACTTCCCAATCTGAGAAAACTTGTGGTAACCCTTAGTTTGACATGTCTGACTCTTACAACCAATCTCAGAGAAATGTGTGATAGAGAACCTTGCTGTGTTAATAATACAGCAGACACACATCTTGGTCTGTGAAAATTCACAGAATGTCATATATATCCACTATATTACACAACGAACAGCAAACAATCTAGCAGGGCAGGAATTAGTAACGATATCATGGTGTAACAATGCTACTCATAAGTTGATTTATAGCTACATAATACCAGTCTTGATGTAGAGCAGTGCTGGGTTTTAAACAATGAGGACCTGAAAAGTGCCTTTTAGAGACCCATCCCAAACTTCTCAGAAGGGCTGAGAGCCCCAACTCTGTAGTTATTTCTCTCTGAATAATTCGGTTTACCCTATCTTCCTCTAAGCAAAACTCTCAGGAAAGTATCAAAGGAAATATTTGCAGCCTTCCTGTAGTTAAAGGGGGTTATAAAAAAGAGGGAGAGCGCATTTTTACACAGATAGTGATAGGATGAGGGGCAACAGACTTAAACTAAAAAAGAAGAGATTTGGATTAGATATTAGGAAGAAATCCTTTACCCGGAGGGTGGCGAGGCACTGGGACAGGTTGCCCAGAGAAGTTGTGGATGCCCCATCCCTGGAAGTGTTCAAGGCTAGACAAGATGGGGCCCTGAGCAACCTGGTCTTGTGGGTGGCATCCCTGCCCATGGTGAGGGGGTGGACCTAAATGATTTTTAAGGTTCCTTCCAACCCAAGCCATTATATGATTCTAATTTTGGGAAACCACCTAAACCTAAGTAGTTATCAAAAGACATTTAAAAAAACTGCAAGGAAACTGGTTTGGTTTTGTCATCCTCTCTCAGCCTAAGCAAAGATCAGACAAAAAGGGTACTTAATGAGTATATAGGAGCTGAAGGTGAGGTACTTTTTTCCCTAGATAAGTATCATTCTTAAAGGAATAAAAGGAGGAAAAACTGCACATTTAATGATCTAAATGACAAAAAACTCCCAAAACAATAACAACAACAAACACACACAAAATCCAAACAACAAACAAACAAACCCTAAAAAACTCCAACAAAACTACACCAAAAAACAAGGGGAGCAAAGAGGAAAGAGAAAAACTAAGTAGTGAAGCAACAAACACATATAAGAGACATTTCATGCACACTACCTACAGAGCAGGGGGTATCACAGCAACAAATATATATATAAATATATAAAAATGTGCAATGTCTTACCATTCATTCCCTTATGCCCCAAAACTTCCACAAATTTGAGAGAACTATATTTAACACCTCATGTCATATTAGTTTCCTGACTTTTCCTATGCACTCATTGACATTAATGATAACTACTTATTTTTCCTCAGTGGGTTGTTTTGCCTAACCTCATTCAGTGGAAGCAAAAAGGTATCTTTTTTTTTCTTTCTAATTGGGGATTTTCAAACTAGATCAATTACTGCATCATTAAAGTCTTTGCATTTCTGAAGGCCAAAACACAAAGTAGTCACAAAACCCAGACAGCAGCCCTGCTTTGCTCTCAGCTTTGGTGCTGAAGAAGAATTCTCAGAGCAAATTGCAAGTGGCAGAACACCACCTCCTACAGCAGGTCCCATCTGCTGCCAATGGACAGCCAGCTCAGCTCATTGCAGAGCCTCCTCTTGCCTTTTCTTACCTCACTTTTGCTGTAGAACAGTCCCATTGTGGTCTTTTCCGCCTCTGAGCCAGGTGTGAAAGGTGTAGATGGATGGGTAGAGAGGAACTTCTTGTGCTTTAGGCTGCCGGGAGCAGGCAGGCAGGTGAGTTAGTGCTTGACTCAGCGCAGCCTCACCCCGCCACCACCACTTGAGCAATTCCCGACTCCTCCTCTCCCTCCTCCTCCTACTCCTTGCTGCCCGGAACATGAGTGCACGCTGCACACCTGTACAAAGGCACAGACACCCAGCCTCTGGCACTGCAGAAGGATGGTCTTTGCTGCTGTAGTTACAGAGAAATTGAGACTGATAAGGGATTTTCTCTTCACAGTTATAGGCACTGAGCAAATGTTACTTTTCAGCATCCTCATCACTTTTTGGCACACAGGAGAGCTTGTCAAACTGCAGCCTCTTGTGGGAAGGTGACTGGAACCAGCCAGGTTCCATCTGGCTGCCCAGGAATGGGCAACAAGGACTTCTTTAGCCAAGAACATCTGAACAAACCAATGGTCAAACAAAAGACTTTTTGTAGTTTTTACAGCCTATAGGGGGTAGGTAGGTTTTTGCTTAAAGACATACCTGAAAGAATTTTTATTGTCCCCCTCTCACATTCCGTTCTTCTAAACTCAAGCAGTAAACTGTCTTTCAACCAAACAGATATTGCAGTGACAAATATCACGTGAAACAATTCCCAAGTCACCCGTTGAAACTGTAATAGAATTTTCTTTATAAAGAAAAAGCTTTAAAAGCTCACTCACTGTCTCAAAAATTTTGTTATTTTTTGCATGCAAATTAAGGTGTTTTGGTGATCTCCAAGAGGATACATTTGTGAGAGTGAAATTAATGTTGAAATTAATGTTAATTATTCTTCATATTCTCACGTATCCTTTATGTCTTTACATTTATAAGGCTTCACTGTGCAGGACACTACACATCATGTGAGGTGGTTCCTGCCTCAGTGAGGGAATACATGAAGTGAGCACACAAGAAGTAAAATGGGAGTTTGAGGGTTGTTTTTTAAATAATCCTTGCTATTATGAAAATTAACAGAGGAATCGATTTCAAAATAATTTCATTTCACTTTGCAATGAATTGAGAACTCATGGATAAAGGCAATTTCACGGACATGAAAGAATTTTAATTTCCTAGAACATTTGGTACTTTGTGACATTCTAACTTAAGAACTAGATCCAACAAGTGTCACCCAGATAAACTTTGAACACATTAAGGAATGCTAAATAACAGATTACAAACAGCAGTAGTCAAAGGAAGGAAAATATTCCTAGAGATTTGGCAAAAGCTCAGTTATAAGCCTAAATGTTTTTATGGATGATCTTGAAATTAAAAATATATATAAAAAAGTCACTAGCACTCTGTTTCAAAAAGAAGATATTGAAACACTGGGAAACTGAAGAGCTGCAGAATCATCTGGAGAGCAAGAGGAACTCTCTCAGAGAGGGAAAGGCAGGTTTCATATCAGACAGCTGGACACAATGAAAAGTCATGTTAATCAGGCTCAGGCTGCATTCTACACCTGCCTGGCTTTTTTCCATCCTGTGGTTCAGTAAGTTTCCCCTGTGAAACAGACTGAAACATCCTCCATTCTGCTCTGTTTCATTTCCAGCAAAAAGTTCTCGGAAACCATGACACTAATCTCAAATATATGTCTATAAAGGACACAGAGGCATCACATGATTTGATAATCTAGTGTATAGGAGCAGAACCACAATTACATCTGCCTCACACATGGAGGGATAATAACTAGATTTAAACATACAATACTGTACCTAAAAACAGGGTTACACCATGCCCCTTCAAGTTTTTTCAGGAGCACGAACACAATGAACATGCTCATAAGTGAAAGACATTGCCCACTCATCCTCTTCCACCACCCAGTTTTTTCTGAGATGCACTGTCAGCTGGGTTTTTTTCATAGGAAGGAATCTTTTTCCCCCATCCATTACCTAGAACTTCATTCCATAAAAACAAATTTGTCACTTTTGAGCACAGTCAAGACTCTTCTGATCTCAGCACTAATTCTGCCCTGATGACTCTGTCTGAAGTTAATTGCAAAAATGGGAGCCTTTTATTAACAAAAGAAAGATAATCCAAAACATTTTCCGAGTTGCTGTGAATAATCTCTTCATGAATCACAGCTCCGCAGTGCAAGGTTGCTGTTGTGAAAGACTGAGCTTGTGATCTGTCTGTTGCAGAACTGTGAGAGTCCACCTTCCCCAAGAGACTCTAGAATTTTTGATGATGAGAAACCACTCTTTCAGGACAATCCCTGCAAAGACCATTTGCCCGTAAGTGTTGAACAGATGTAAAAAATATGTCTGGAAGGGATCTCAAAAGGCTCTCCTGCATTGCCTTCTTCTATGCAAACAGCTGACAGCCACTTCCCACCTCATGAAACACTGGGAGAAATTGCAAGGTCATCCTTTAGGAGCAGTCAAGGCAAGTGAAGATGAGTGAGATAGGACAGTCGGAGTCCAGGAGAAAACTGAAGTAAAATTGGGCAATATGTCTACTGCTTAGGCTGAATATAAGTGGTTCTGTGAATAGCAGCTCAGTTGTTTATCTCCTGAAAAAAAAATTACCTAATCCAGGGGTATTTTTTGTTGGTGGTGAAAACTTTATACATTTTACAATAGTAATAATAACTTAAGAAATTTATTTTAAAGGATTACTGATGAAAGACAGCTAAATAAAAACCTCGTAGTGGACAGACAATCAAATCAGAGATGACGACCTTCAATAATGAAGATAAGCAGGACCAGTACAACGGATTAGTTATTTACCAAAGAAATTCCAGTTTGAGGGATTGCTGTTCTGCCAAATGGAAAACCCACCATGTAAATACTGTTTTGATACACATTTTAATGTTCCACATATTTCATTGTCTTACACAACATTATAATAATTTATATGAACTACATATAACAATTGTTAAAGTAACAAGGTAACAAAACTAAAACCAAATTTGCTGCTTTGAAGTTTGTTTTGTATGAAACCACTGCTAAATTCCAGTCTGTTTGCCTGAACATCTGTGTAAATAGGGTGGAGTCCAGCATGTCCTTAGGATGATGTGATTTCTACTGCAAGTATAACTGGCAAGTGTCAAACGTCTTGATCTTATCAAACCATAGACAATCCAAGAAATATCAAACAGAAAGTTAAAGCCAGTGTGTGGTGGCTAATAATTCCGCTGCTTCCTCCGTGCCACTGCCAAGCGCAAGGCCCGAATAATCAACTTCTCGTTATTCAAGACATTGTAATCAGTCAGTTTCACCAGTTTGTCAAAATTTTCTTCGCTGAAACACACCTCCCTTGTTGTAAACGGTGAGAGGATGCTGGAGACATCAACTTTGCCTTCAGCCATCTCTTCAGGACTCCGTTCCACACCTGAGGGACAAACCACAAGGAGATGCACCAATAAGGTTTTATTGTAGCATGTGGCTCCTATCAGTCATTTACATAATTATAGGTAGAAAAGGGAGATATGGAAGGAAAGATATAATTTGCCAGAGGGATGTAAAAGTAACCTAGTAGCACTGTATTCTTTAGCATCTGGATCAAGCCTGTATCCAAATATGATTTTACATCATTTGACATTTACGTCACCCAAACAGGTGGAAATCAGAACAACATTAGCTGCAGCAACGCTAGACTACTGCATAGTCTTTGTTACCCAAACAAGAAAAGCACCAGCAAAAGGTAAACAAGATACACCTGAACTAGATAAAATAACAACCCTCTCACTGAAAGTTCAGAAGAAATTATTGCACTCAGACAGAGGACATCATTCAAATTAAAACTGAAGATCTCTGTCCACTCAGTTCTCAGTCTGGGGGATTACTTTTAAATACGTGAACAAAACCCAGGTGAATGGGTTTACCACCAAAACCACCGGAAGGTTTTGCATCATTCTTTGCAACCAGCAGTGCATAACAAGCCCATGTCTGTAGAGTAAAATAGCTTGTGTTGAGGACCTACCACCCATGGTATACATATTTTGGGTTTTTTACCTTCATACTCTCTCTAGTAGTTCCTGTGATATAATTGCTTATACTCATCTCAAAAGTATTCAGAACAGCTTCTGGAGCTCAGATAGTTCAGACATACTGACACAGACCAGGTTTGGGTTTGGTTTTTTTCACTGATGAGACTGATAATGCTGACATTGGAACGGTAAAATATGATAGTGAGACATTAGACATGAAATGGAGAGGACTACTCACTGGGAAAAAGAATTTTTATTAAAATTGCTACCACAGATGACTCACCAGGAGCTTTATATTTCTTGAAGGTGTCATTTACTAGAGGGAAAAAAAGCACTGTTGGAGCTTGTGGACTGTCAGCATCTTCAAATACATAGCACTCCTTCAAGTTTTCCCTGTCTTCCTCACTTATCTCAATTTTGGGAAATGGAATTCCTTGCCCCAAGAAGTACTTCGCAATCTGATCCAGAGGCTGAACGAATGAATAAAATAAATAAAATTAATACAAAAAATCAAAACTGATCCAGAGACCTGGATATTTTAAATCCCAGCAGCTAGTAGCTAACAGGAATATTTTAAGGCTTGAATCTTCCTCTGGGAAGATGGAAATAGCCATAACCACACCAGATATTGCAGCATATCTTATTTTCCACATTGTTTTAGGCAAAATAAGAAAACAGTCCCTTTCTTTGAACTTGAAAATGAAGCCAAAAGCCACAGGACTAATTTCATAATTCCAGTGAAACAAGCTCAGAAGGGGAAGGCAAAGAAACTGCAAGAATGGAGATGAAGCATCTGTCCAGATGAAACATCAGTCCAGATTATTCTGTATCATTGTCTTGACATCTTCATTATTTAGCACTTTCCCAGTCTTTCTGTTCTCTCCATAACTGGTGATTGCTTGATAATGACTCCCTACTAACAAATACACTTATCAACATAACTTATGATCTCATGAAAAAAAAACTTTAACAGCTATATTTACTATAAACCTACGTTTATTTTTA